ATCACATACATACGTATCACCCCGTATATACGCATCACCCTGTATATACGTATCACTCTGAATATACGTATCACTCTGTATATACGTATCACCCTGTATATACGTATCACCCTGTATATACGTATCACCCCGTATATACGTATCACCCTGTATATACGTATCACTCTGAATATACGTATCACTCTGTATATATGTATCACTCTGTATATACATATCACCCTATTATATACGTATCACTCTGTATATACGTATCACCCTGTATATACGTATCACCCTGTATAAACATATCACCCTGTATATAATATCACCCTGCATATACATTTCACAGTTCCGGGCGTTTATTGATGTAGTGTTCATTTTGTCTTTGTATGACTTTGTATAATAAATAATTTATATTTCGTGAAAAATTTGTTTTCCTGAAAATTCTCGTGGATACACGATAGTAAATTCAAATACCTGCAAATATGAAGTTATTCTAATACATGTATATGGAAACGATATGTACCGAATGTCGTTTATTTCGTGAATTCCATTCATTATGATTTAAGCAAAGGCACTGGAGGGAGTAATTTATTTACAGTAAGTCAATCGATTACAGTTTGTCAATTAATTACAGGAAGTCAATTAATAACAGTAAGTAAAGAGATTTACGATGCGCACAACAGCTAATATAAATAATTGTCAAAATGTCTGAAGTTTCACTTAAACGGTTTCGTAATTTTAGGGGGTCGGAAATATTATCTGACCCCTGTAGGCATCGTGCGAACTGGATATTGGAGGAAACACGTTTGAAACTGTAGAGGTAAATTGTATGTGCCACTGTGCAGTAACAATTTAATACAATACAACATGGCTACTGAATTAAGTTAATTCGAGGTTGATGAGACTATTTCCAATGGAAATATCGCAATATTGTTTTTTGTTAGACTCTGCTGTTTACCCTAATTAAGTATATTGTTGCTGATATATGTGTAACGTTACATATGAAACCATCTATATTACAACATGCTTACATTTTCACTTCGACAACATGATATTTTCAGAAAGTGCAAGGTTAATAGTGAGAGCAGAGGGTAAGAATATGGGATGCTTGCCAGTCTGTGCATTCTTTACGTACGATTGCTAGTGTTTTTGGATTTGTTTAATGAAAGCGTGTCTATCTATTTTCAATGCTTCCGCGACATATCTAGCGTTTCACTTATTTATACCGTGTCATCGTTTGTAACCTTGTTGTGTTAATTTGTCGTTAAGAAAATTGTTATGAAATATATATCCTTTCAACGAAATGTGCTTTTCTGTTTTACCATAGAAATTGTACATGCTAATACAATCTTTCGCTAATGCGAGTTAGATTTACACGAATAGCTATCGTTACAATGACTCTTCTATCACAATGATTTTTAAATTGAACAAGATCAGGAAAAGCTGTTTTGTTGATAAAAAAGGTCATCGGGATGGAAATGTAAGCTTTAACTTAGATGTTTTTTTTCTGAAGAAAGATCAATTATTGTAACCTGACAACCTATAAAAACATGAAGGAACTACGTAAATCCATGTTTATTTCCTAAGCCGCTTCTGTTGTTAGCTGTAAGCGCTATATGCCAGCAGTATGTCGATACTTCGCGGACACTTTCCGCGAAGTTATCTTGTTAAGAGGCTTTGTGGTGTTTACCTCTTCTTCTAGTCATAAGTGGGCCTTCAATTGAACAGCGTCCTTTACAGACTTAAATTCCGGTTGCGCACGTATGAATTTTTGCAATGTTTGTTGATCTTGTTTTAAAATACGTTTACTGATTTGTAGAATCTATTTCTAATGTCGTCATTTCACCTGGTTGCTGTATATTATGTTCGTCGGGACATCCTCAAAGGGAAGAGTTCATCAAAGTTGCTTACTATTTATAAATAATGCATGATCGTTCATTCCCATATTCCAATATTGGTTATCTCAGGAATTTGCGTTGTATGGAATATCCTTCAGTGTAGATACTCGTATCGTTCCTCGGCTTCAGACATTCTTGCTTGATATTATTTTTGTACTTCGTATATGGAGGTAACACGACTGGCGGACTTCAATGTCGTATATAGTGACGTAAACATTTAATGTTAATGTTCTTAATATCTTCCTGTGGTTGAAATAACCTAGCCGTACATTTAAGTATACGTGAAAAGCTTGGTAGTTGCCCCTTGCCAAAAAACTAAATGTTAATGATTAATTTCCCTCATAGCTATTTGGGTTCTACACATACAGTAAATAAGGAGTAAATCATGGTTTGTTACTTGACTGTTCACTTCGTCACGTCAATATTTCCTTATAGATACAGATGACAACTTCTCGCTTCGTGAAACTCCCCCAAATCCTACTGTAGTTGACATGTTGGTACGGTCTTTATCGATATTATATGTACTTAACTTATAATGGATTCCGGTCAGGCCTACATATCAGGATGGCTCTATTCTATATATAAATGTATTCCTTTTTCGTGGTGGCGGCTAAAAAATCTGCATAGGTGTAGGAGACAGAAACTGTCTGTTAAAAATTGTCTTCGATATATGAAGGGCCTGGTGAATAAAATTGATGTTCTCCTTATCGTTTTTTCTAATCGACCAATTATGGTATTCTGTGAATGTATCGTCAGACCTGTGGTACTCCGACAATACACCATTGGCTGGTCATTTGTGTCTGCTGTTGTAATGATACCAATTTGTCATTGTTTCACTGTAAAGTGTTGCTGTAACCAGTTTTCTATGGTGATCTGCCCCTTACTTGATCGGACTTCCTGGTTTACTTGTTGGATGTCGGAGTTACATTGGTACAGTGTTGTTTTTGGCCTGTAGGTATTGTATTATCGGAGGGGCCTGTGGCAGAGCTATCCCTAGACAAGCAGGTTCCCCACTGATTTATTCTGTCCCCCAAACGAAGTGGGGGACTTCTTGGTTTTACTTCATTTTTAGCTCACTTGCCCTTCGAGCCGTACCGCGGCGTCCGTCGTCCGTCGTCCGTCGTCCGTCCGTCGTCCGGCGTCAACTTTTCCATTTAAAAGCCTTTATCTCCTGAAATACTGATTGGATTTTAACTAAATTTGATATGACGCATCCTTGGGACCAGGGGCTCAATGGATTTATGAAATAAGGGTCTGGCCCCCATGGGGGTTTAGTTAGGGGCCAAAAAGGGGAAAATTTAGAAAAAAATAAATAAAAAATCTTCTTCTCCATTTCAAGAAATGCTAAAACCAATACATGTTTCCTAGCCCCCCCCCCCCTCCCTATCTTCCTTTGTTTTGAACGGAAGTTGTTCATAGTTTTTATGAGCCTGACCCCCTAGGGGGCTGAGTTAGGGGCCGAAAAGGGGGGAAATTTAGGGAAATTTCAAAAGTCTTCTTCTCCAGTTCTAGAAATGCTAGAATCAAATACTACTCATAGCTGTAAAGGCCTTTGGGTGGTTTATAAAAATTGTGATTTTCATGTCCCCCGTTTGCCCCTGGTGAGGGGGTGAAATTTAGTATAGTTTATATAGGAAATATACATAATAGGCCATATCTTCCAATTGTTTTGAGCGGAGTTTGCTCATATTTGACAGAAATACTTGTTAGGGGAGGGAGGTCTGCTGGTATAATATGTATGAGTTTGACCCCCTAGTGAGCTGAGTTAGGAGCCAAAAAGGGGAGAAATTTGGGAAATTTCAAAAATCCTCTTCTCTAGTTACAAAAATGCTAGGATCAAATACTACCAATAGCTGTAAAAGCGTTTGGTCGGTTTATAACAATTGTGATTTTCATGTCTACCAGGCCCCCCGTTTGCCCCTGGTGAGAGAGTGAAATTTAGTATAGTTTATATAGGAAATATACATAATAGGCCATATCTTCCAATGTTTTGAACGGAGTTTGCTCATATTTGACAGAAATACTTGTTAGGGGAGGAAGGTCTGCTGGTATAATATGTATGAGTTTGACCCCCTAGTGAGCTGAGTTAGGAGCCAAAAAGGGGAGAAATTTGGGAAATTTCAAAAATCCTCTTCTCTAGTTACAAAAATGCTAGGATCAAATACTACCAATAGCTGTAAAAGCGTTTGGTCGGTTTATAACAATTGTGATTTTCATGTCTACCAGGCCCCCCGTTTGCCCCTGGTGAGAGAGTGAAATTTAGTATAGTTTATATAGGAAATATACATAATAGGCCATATCTTCCAATGTTTTGAACCGAGTTTGCTCATATTTGACAGAAATACTTGTTAGGGGAGGAAGGTCTGCTGGTATAATTTGTGTGACCCTGACCCCCTAGGGAGCTGGGTTTGGGGCGAAAAAGGAGGCGAATTTCAAAATATTTCTTCTGCAGTTCCAGAAATGCCAGTATCAAATACTACTCATAGTTGTAAAGGCCTTCGAGTGGTTTATATACTTTGTGATTTTCATGTGCCTCAGGTCCCTCGTTAGCTTTGGGGAAGGGGGTAAAGTTTGGTATTATTTATATAGACAATTCGACAAATGACCAGCCATCACATACTTTTTATCTCCAACCCAACTAATGTGCTAGTAACAACCTTTCTTCTTCTTATTATTATTATGATTATTATTCTCCTCCTGCCTCCTGCGACCGTTTTCTCAAATGCTATTCATTTGATTCCAATGAAACTTCACAAGCGTATTGGGGCGTGTGTCTAGATGTGCAAACAACCCTTTTCCGCAGCTGCGCATCTAAAATGGCTGCCATATGCTGAGTTCTGATTGGTCGAAATTTAGATATTGTTTGACTTCACTCAAATTTGTTACATGTATGTCACCAATTTTAATTTTTCTTTGATTGTTATGATTTATTTAATGAACGTTGTCACACTTGTGACACCACAATACAAATTTCATCACTAAGTAAAATATGTGGAATATTAAAACTTAAATGAATCAAGCTAGTCAAACTTTTGAAGGACAATAGGTATACATCAAATTTTCTTGTCATTCTTGATGAATAAATACAATGAAACAACGTTTATTAAACTTGATTTGTAGAACTGGAGGGTTGACTCGCACGAAAACGATGGTGAGAGTGAAAACAGTTGAAAAGAAAAAGCCACCTACACTTGCGAAACAGAAAGTTAACGAAGCGATTCGCTACATTGAGAATTACAAACGTCACATCTTCTGGGTGACTCTGTATTCACTGGTGCTGTTGGGGATATTTTTGGAGAGAGCGTACTGTAAGTCAGCACCTAAAATTATTTTTAAATTATCAGATATTATAAAACCATTAAATATCATTTATATCCTTTGATGAATGATAATGAAGAATATTCTATCTTTTTGATAAATAACCATATTTCTCGCAGTTACTTAAGTGCCTTTATTTGAACTCAGAGTTACTCATTTTTCATACCTTAATGTACAGATTATTCAGTGGAAAGAGAGCATGCAGGTCTGAGACGTATCGCCGGATATGGAGTTACGATTACACGGGGTGCAGCTAGTGCCATGATGTTTACATATTCAAGCTTATTGGTGACTATGAGCAGGAATGTGATTACGTTTCTGAGAGAGACATTCCTTCACACATACATACCCTTTGACTCTGCCATCGCCTTCCATAAGCTCATAGCAGCCTATGCTCTATTCTTTACAGGTTTGTAAAAAGCAATAACAATTAACTTACATATTGATTTTCAGTTAATCATGAGTACAACATAAAACAAAAAAAAGCTTGATGAGTTGGTTTCAGTTCTGAATTTAAATGACGATCCTTTTGTTTCTGTGTCTTTCCCAGAAAGAAAAAAGGGACGAAAGGAACTCCGGAGCGAATATTTGACACTATATATTTGTATATTCATAATGTACTTATATACGGCTTAGTGTCTTTATTTGCTTAGTCAAATACATATCCTTTACATAAAGTTGTTTAAGTCAAATCACATGTTCCAAATGTCCTTATATTCGAAAGTGTCATCTACAGATAAACTATAATAATATCTTGCAAATGGATTTCATAAGATTTTAATTCTAAAGTTTGATTGCAACACACTATTAAGGCCGATTGTTCCCGCTCCAAACAGTGAACTAACTACCTGTTGTCTGTTTCACAGTTAACTATATACCTGCTGTCTGTTTCACAGTTAACTAAATACCTGTTGTCTGTTTCACAGTTAACTAACTACCTGTTGTCTGTTTCAGTGATGCATTGTGTTGGTCACGGTATAAATCTTTACCATATTAGTACGCAGTCCTCAACTGACCTCAACTGTATCTTCCGAGAGTACTTTCGGGCGTGAGTACAGCATACTAAAGTGGCTTTCACTGAATCGATATATAGCTTCAGCCAGTAATAAAGAAAATAAAGTGATGTTTCGGATTTTACATATTTTTTCTCTTTTTTTTTTGCGAACGGGTATCCTTTTACCTCTTCTATGATACAGAGACCATATTCTAGATGCTTTATACTTGTCTATATTACCTGGCTGTCCGGGCCCATATCACACAGAGATGTATTGACAAATGACCAAAGATCATACAATTAATGGAATTAAGTATTTCTGGACCAAATGAATGCTAAAAGTAATGAAGTAACTGCCACAGGCAGCGTGTGCTTATAATCTTCTATTTGTTTTTCAATGCGACTAATGAAGGCTTAACGTAAAAAAAACACCTGACACATGTTTTCGGTTGCTATTGATCAATGGGAAATCGGATGAGTTCCGAATTTCCCTTATTTAAAGTCAGTTAGCTAAGCCTGCTTTCCATTTTTTCAGAACTGACATCTTAGCTTCATTTCAATACTGGACCTTCGAAACCATCACTGGTAAGTACACAATCACACGCCAAAACAATGAATTGTTACTAATTGAAGTAAAGTCTCTATACTCCCTTACATAATCAGTTTGTACGTGCCAGACGTTAATCTGATTGGAGGGGACATATAACTACTTACTTCCTTTTAACTCGAGATGATGTGGTTTTGCCACTTTAATGTACATAAGTAATATAAAGTCACTTACAATCCACTAAGCAATTTCAGAGAGCAGATATTTTATAAATATTAGTACTTTATTAATTCCACCCCACTTTTATGATATAAACAGTTGATATGTATTATTTCTAACTTTTATTCAGGATTAACTGGCGTCATACTTACGATCATTGTCATTATTATGTACGTGTTTGCTATCCCGTACGCCCGCCGGAACCTTTTCAACGCCTTTTGGTTCACACATAACTTCTACATACTCCTATATATCTTCCTGATCCTCCATGGTACTGGACGTCTTGTACAGAGTCCGATCTTCCCCAACTTTTTCTATGGTCCTTTAGTCATCTACGTTCTCGACAAACTCATCAGCGTTAGCAGGAAAAAGCGGGAAATCTCGGTGATACAGGCCGATCTGCTGCCATCCGGTAAGTGTCTGGTCAGCCTTCCCAACATTTTGCGTTATTAATCCTCTTTAAGCGAGTAGAGATTTACATTCGCAAAATGGCAAAAAAAAAAGCTGAAAAAGGAATATCATGTTTTCCTTGCCGCTCATGATGTGTTTCGGTTTTGTTTGACATCTCCTCACTTATAGTAACCAACCAAACTACCTTCTAGCAACATTTCACTCTCGAATAAATGTAAAGGAAAAGGAAAATATAATAAGCAAACTTTTAAGTTTATCTACTGTGATAACTATGCAATGTAAGAATGTATGACAAGACAAATCTTTACCAAGTAGTATTCGTTTACAACAACAGTGTCGTGAAACTGCTAAAGATACTTTACTAGGCATTGCATAATGTACGTTTTAACGTTCAAAAGCAACATTTTGTTGACAGAGGTGACTGCTTTGAAATTCAAACGCCCGCTCGATTTTGACTACAAATCTGGACAATGGGTTCGAATCGCATGCCTCGACATTGGTGAAGATGAATATCATCCGTTTACGCTGACGTCTTCTCCTAATGAGGATTTTCTCAGTCTCCACATCCGAGCCGTAGGGCCATGGACTATGAATCTTCGGTCTACATATGATCCAAATAACCTTGGAGATCGTATACCACCAAAGGTATTTCTCGTTTGTATGGTGCAGCAAATTTAACACTTAGGGGTTGTTTGTCGGGAACATGACATTTCAGAGTAAATTGAGTTTTTTCTTGTAAAACCAATGTTCATGATGTAATACTTACCATAACTTTAGTATGCATATCTTTCCACAATTCCCATTCATTTGTATATAATATAAAAGAGCTGAGCTGACTGGACGTGTCCCTCTACTTCTGCCGTGGTCCACTCCATACAGGGCGGTATTGTACTTGACTGAGAGTGATATTGCCTGTTATATAGCAGTTCGCTGCTATTTATAAACCCATTTAAATTGTATAGTTATTTTGGCTGTGCTTCGCCTGCTTTACCGTCCGTGCACAGACACGTGGCTGCGTTCCCTTGTGTATCGTGACTGTGACCTGCGGGTTTTCCTTTTTAGTTTATTGTTTTTTTGCGTACGTGTCAATTGTCATATCTACTCACGCATACGTATTTGTAAACTCTATTTATTGCCTTTCAGCAATTAACTAAAGTTTATGATTTAGTTGTTGTTTGGGTTTCGTTTTTGGGAACTACGATGGCCCATATTGGTCAACGGCGCGGCACTAGGGATGGGTGATCTCATGTCTATAGTGTACAACATTGTACATAGAATTGTTGTGTCTTTTAACTAAAGGTTCCTTTAATATTTTATGTCCGATTGACACGGTAGTTCTTCATATTAATTTTCTTGTGATATTTTTCGAATGTTCTTTTACGTTGAGATCTATGTATTAAATTATGTTTACGCTTGGACAAGTGTATTTGCCCCTATATGCGTTATGGAATTGCGGGAGAACCAGTCTGCTTGGTGGTACATTATAAGATTGATGACATGATTGATTTATTAACAGGTGTACGTTGACGGACCTTTTGGGGAGGGACATCAGGATTGGTACAAGTACCCCGTGTCTGTACTTGTTGGTGGAGGTATCGGGGTCACGCCATTTGCTTCCATTTTAAAGGACATTGTCCACCGTTCTCAGACCGTCAACCAACGTATGACATGTCAAAAGGTAGTCACGAACGAAGTGACGACTTCATTAAGAAAAGATAGACTGGACATAATATGTGTTTTATATTGCAAGTAAACTAGGAGAGTACGCTGAGATGTCGTTCATTTTAATTTAATAATCACATCAAATGTATAAAATATCGCCGTTTTTATATCCAGGAATACCCATTGTTAAAAATGATATAAATGTCATGTGATACCACATATAACCATATCTATAAAAGTTATTTGAATATTAATTAAAGTCAGAAACAACTAGGGGAAAATAACCCGAGGTGACAGGAAAGCTGGGTAGGCCGACAAACTGAAATGGTGTTGGTTTGTTTGGACAGGTATACTTCCTGTGGGTGACTCGCACGCAGAAACAGTTTGAGTGGTTAACTGACATTATCCGGGACGTAGAGAATGCCGACAAACAGGAACTGGTGGCTGTCCACATCTTCATTACTCAGTTCCAGCAGAAGTTCGACCTGAGGACTACCATGCTGGTACGTACATTATCCAGCTTCATAAGTGTTGTGTTAAAGACGTTAACGATGTACGTAATATGCATAACCCCATACCTTCATGGAACTGTCAAAGTGCAAGACGGATGTCAGTTGTAGTATGAGATACGCTTACTTTTCTGAGCACCCAAGTTTGATGAATTTCAGAGTTTTGTCCTTTGTGGTTTTTCTGCTTTACTTGATAGCTCTTCCACATGATAACCTGATTCGACAACTAGCTATAGGGGGAGGGACTTATGACTGAATGTATATATTTGAACTTAGTAATGGAAACTGTCTCAGTTCTGTATTGTCCCCCTGTGGGTCCCCGGTTCTGTAACATGGCTGTGTTGGCTTCTGTATGCCTCCTCAGTGTATCACTTACTTGTCCCACGAAACATAATCTATTTGTGTGCTAATAAGCGAAAATGGTTGTCACAAGGGAACATGTTTGTCTACCTGTAATAAATAAATTTACGGCAATACACTATTTTGTCAATAGAGAAAACCCTCAGTACTTGATATGTATTTTTAAACCATGAATAAATCAATATTGTAAACTATATGTTGATGAAAGTTTAAAAGTAATTTAAACTTTGCCTTACAAACACAGTATCCAATTACATAACTCACAGGAGGAAAAAATAAAATCGACAGTATAATAAAAATAATTACGCTCAAAAAACCCCACTAATGTTAACCCATAAAGTCTAAGGATATTTATCCACTGAAGTTCTTACAGATAAAAGGTAATGCTATAAATAGTACAGATTGACATGAAATTAATGCAATGTTGTGTTTATCCGCAGTATATATGTGAGCGCCACTTCCACAAGATCGCAGGTAAGAGTCTCTTCACAGGATTATCGGCCACCACACACTTCGGGCGTCCTCAGTTCCAGGATTTCCTCACCTCACTCCACCTCGAACATAAGGAGGTGAGTAATGGGCTTCGACAAACTTTCGATCTAGTTTTACGCTTAAGAGATCTTTGCCGCTGAACAAGAGGATACATTTCAATTTGGATAGGAGTTGGTTCCGTTAGTTGTATAAATATCTCACAATGGGGGATTTTTTGTCACTGGAAGGGAGAGGGAGTTTTGCTGTTATGTAACAATGCGTGTGTTTTTGCTGGAAAAGACATGTACGGCTTGTCTGTGGCAATACAAGATAGTGTACACAAACCGTTACCAAACATTGGCGATGATATCTCAGGTTGATTTCAGTTGATATCTGAAACGTTGTTAAGCTATAAACTTGTAAGACAACTGTCTAATATTTTCGAATTTGAATATTGCAGGTGAAACAAGTGGGTGTGTTTAGTTGCGGACCTCCTCCGATGACTCTAAAAGTGGATCGAGCATGCACTGAATTGAACAAGAATATTAACTTGCCTACGTACAATCATCATTTTGAAAATTTCTAAATAAGATTGAAAATAGTATATACGCACTATTTAGTTGAGGACTTTGTGCGACGTGTTTTTTTTAGAATATCTGTATTTATATGTACGTCACACTACAAGCTCACACCATTGCTGACACATTGTTTAACTCCTTCCAAGTGTACAGAGGCGACGACACGAACTTCCACTGCAAATGACAAATCAAAATCATCAATGTCTTACGGATGCTAAATATATAATTAAAAACAGTGTATTCAATACAAATGTCAATATCGACATGTCGAATACTGTCGATTTGTTGTATTATATTTAACACATGAAAGGTTTCCATGCTACAGATATATTAGAAATTTCGAATTTTGACTAATGTTTATTAATAAAAAAAACCTTTTTGTACAATATGTATGTTAGCCATATGTCACTTCTCCATTCAGTTGCGGTACTGTCCGGATTACAGGTCGGACATCGATGGAACATGAATGGTATAGGCTGATTATGGAGATCGGATTATTATCAGTTTTTTGCAAAGTTATTTTAGGCATAAATGCATTATGGGCGTTCTCTCCCCTATTCTACCAAAAGCGTGCAATGAAATTTCTGTATGACAGTTTACTGGTATATTTCGTAAGTTCCTCTAATAACATAATATACAGTACAAAACCTACATTAAAAAAGTTTTTTCTCCTTAAACATTTGACATGTTCTGTACGAGGTATGTTCTCCTAATACAAAATATGACATGTTTAGCATAAGTTTTGTTCTCCTGAAAAAAATGAAATGTTCCTTACAAGGTATGTTCTCCTGATAAGAAGTATGACATGTTCTCTCCAAGGTATGTTCCTCTGATAAGAAGTGTGACATGTTCTGTCCAAGGTATGGTCCACTGATAAGAAGTGTGACATGTTCTGTCCAAGGTATGGTCCACTGATAAGAAGTGTGACATGTTCTGTCCATGGTATACTCTCCCATAAAAAGTCGGACATGTTCTGTACAAAGTATGTTCCTCTGTACATGATATGATCCCCTAGTAGGAAGTTTGATATGTTAACTAGATAATATTTTGACTACGTGTCATCATTTATCACAACTTTGTTGATAACAATGTAATTTTGTATTTATATCGTTTACATTCAATCTGAAACCTTATCTTGTTGCTGTGCGTTATCATGGTGGTTTTGATGATAGAAATTTAATGTGAATACCTGTTTCTGTGATTTAATAATCCCGATAGTACTAGTACAATCAAGCCCCGGAAATACCTTGTACTTGGCTATATTAATCGGAGCCACGTGAAAAATATCCTAGGCTGTTTGGCAAGCAGTAGTGTTACAAAATAAATAACTTTTGTAATTTTTCTTGCTCCCTCTCCACTGTGAAAAAGAATCTTCCGATACACCAGTGTATAATTATCCTCCGTATAAAATTGTATGGAGTTTAATAAGCATGATGAAATGTAAAATGAAATTAAGTAGAATTTCCAAATTCATGGTTTTTTTCAAATATGTACATCAGAAAGGAACATTTTTGAGTAGGTTATTGGAATATCATCAGTTTGAATCCTAGGCTGACTCATATACATTGTAGATATAATACTAGTTCAAATTGTATCAGAAGGTGCCATTTAGTGTATACTTTATATTTAGTAGTAGTATTGTGATCCTGTTAGTTGTACTTGTGTGTATACTATATATGTTGTAGTAGTATTGTGACCCTGTTAGTTGTACTAGTGTGTATACTATATATGTAGTAGTAGTATTGTGACCCTGTTAGTTGTATTTGTGTGTATACTATATATGAAGTAGTAGAATTGTGATCCTGTTAGTTGTACTTGTGTGTATACTATATATGTAGTAGTAGTATTGTGACCCTGTTAGTTGTATTTGTGTGTATACTATATATTTAGTAGTAGTATTGTGATCCTCTTAGTTGTACTTGTGTGTATACTATATATGTAGTAGGAGTATTGTGACCCTGTTAGTTGTATTTGTGTGAATACTATATATGAAGTAGTAGAATTGTGATCCTGTTAGCTGTACTTGTGTGTATACTATATATTTAGTAGTAGTATTGTGATCCTCTTAGTTGTACTTGTGTGTATACTATATATGTTGTAGTAGTATTGTGACACTGTTAGTTGTACTTGTGTGTATACTATATATTTAGTGTAGAATGTGATCCTGTTAGTTGTAATTGTGTGTATACTATATATGTAGTAGTAGTATTTTGACCCTGTTAGTTGTACTTGTGTGTATACTATATATTTTGTAGTAGAATTGTGACCCTGTTAGTTGTACTTGTGTGTATACTATATATTTAGTAGTAGTTTTGTGACACTGTTAGTTGTACTTGTGTGTATACTATATATGTAGGAGTAGTATTGTGACCCTGTTAGTTATACTTGTGTGTATACTATATATGTAGTAGTATTGTGATCCTGTTAGTTGTACTTGTATGTATACTATATATGTTGTAGTAGTATTGTGACACTGTTAGTTGTACTTGTGTGTATACTATATATTTAGTGTAGAATGTGATCCTGTTAGTTGTACTTGTGTGTATACTATTTATTTAGTAGTAGTTTTGTGACCCTGTTAGTTGTACTTGTGTGTATAATATATATGTAGTAGTAGTATTTTGACCCTGTTAGTTGTACTTGTGTGTATACTATATATGTTGTAGTAGTATTGTGACCCTGTTAGTTGTACTTGTGTGTATACTATATATTTTGTAGTAGAATTGTGACCCTGTTAGTTGTACTTGTGTGTATAATATATATGTAGTAGTAGTATTTTGACCCTGTTAGTTGTACTTGTGTGTATACTATATATGTTGTAGTAGTATTGTGACACTGTTAGTTGTACTTGTGTGTATACTATATATTTAGTAGTAGTTTTGTGACACTGTTAGTTGTACTTGTGTGTATACTATATATTTAGTAGTAGTTTTGTGACCCTGTTAGTTGTATTTGTGTATATACTATATATTTAGTTTTAGTGTCGTGATCCTGTTAGCTGTACTTATGTGTATACTGTATATCTAGTGGTTATTTCATATTATATAGTATATTTTATTGCTATGTGTGATCCATGTGTGTAAAATGAAATCGTTGCATATCCATAAGATAGATTGCAAAAATTAACAATTTATATATGTAACTTATAAATATAACATAATGAAATAAAAAGTAACAAAGGCGTTGTTTTGTTGTAATATTAATTTTACTTTGACGGATTTGACAGAAAACAAAATGATGGTTGGCACGTGTACTCTAAAACTCCCGTCGAGAACAGTGCACTTTGAAATTTGATGTTGACGCCATGATATTTTTGTTTGTTTTTTGATTAGGAAACACCAGTTGGCAAACTTACTGCTGACGAATATCTGCAACCTTTTATAGGTAGGCCTCTGTCTTATTTAAATGATCTTATATAAATACTTAAATTAGTATGACCTTATGGTTCAAAATGACTAAAGAAGTGCCATTAATGCATATAATCTTCCTAATAAATGAATAAATCGAACCCTAACTACATGTACAAGGTTTAACAGATATTTGATAGGTATCATCGAGTATCATCGAGTTGAACTCTTTGGAACGCAATTTAATAGCACAGTGCAGCAGCATTCTTAATCATTGGTAATTGTTTCGTTCCTGGAACAAATTCGTGGGTTTTAAACTAAACAAAACACGGAAATTACTCATTGATTTTAGATATCAAAAAGGCAGCAAGGCTGAAACAGATATTATCTGGTAGTCCACTTATCACAATGATATCACAAAACCCGCAAACAATGTTTATTGTGTGAATGATCAAAAATAATATTTGATTTGCAGAAAAAAACAATTTGTGTGTTGGATAAATGGAAGCGTACCATGTAACAGATATAAAGAATAAATAAATTCTAATGAAAATGAAAACAAAAACATCATATAGTTAATACCAATAATACCACATTAAAATCATCGATGAAATATGATTTAATACGCATGTACGGTGGTGCTTTCATTTGTTAATTTAAAGTCTTTGATTACATTTAATTTTGAGTATAATTTAGTATAAACATCTTTTCACGAGATGAACAAATATCTACAGGAATCTCTCTTTAAATGTATAACACATGTTTTTAAGGTTTCTAAATTCTGAACGATGCTTAAACAATATGTAACAAACACTAGGGGTTCCGAATGAATCTATAGCACAGGAATTCCAAAAGTGAAAATGTAAAATGTAATTTATAGAAACTGTTACAAAGGAGACCCGAATGTAAAAAAAATGAACACATGATAATTCAATACACGCAGTGGGTTCTATACCGGCAAAATGTACCTTTCTGCAGTGAATCAACGCAAGCTATAGGGTAACGAAATTCTTCTATCAAAGCACGTAAAGATATGATTCTCTTTGGTAATTCATGGTGAAATGTATCAGAAGATCTTACATGTAATACATGTAAACATATGTAATAACTCGTTTACATACAGTGTTTATAGAAACAAGTCTAACACATTATATAACTACTCGTTTACATACAGTGTTTATATAAACAAGTCTAACACATTATATAACTACTCATTTACATACAGTGTTTATATAAACAAGTCTAACACATTATATAACTACTCGTTTACATACAGTATATATCAGTATAACAAGTCTTACCCATTCTGTAACCACTACCTCACATTCTGTTTATTAATAAAAGTCTTACACATTAAGTGACTACTTCTTCAAATCCTGTATATCAGTACAACACGTCTTATACATTATGTTACTACTTCTTCAAATTTTGTGTATCAGTACAACACGTCTTATACATTATGGTACTACTTTTTTACATTATGTATATCAGTACAACACGTTTTACACATTATGTTACTACTTCTTCAAATTTTGTGTATCAGTACAACACGTCTTATACATTATGGTACTACTTTTTTACATTATGTATATCAGTACAACACGTTTTACACATTATGTTACTACTTCTTCAAATTTTGTGTATCAGTACAACACGTCTTATACATTATGTTACTACTTGTTTACATTATGTATATCAGTACAACACGTCTTACACATTATGTTACTACTTGTTTACATTATGTATATCAGTACCACAGGGACCTGACAATTTGTTACAACTATATTTGGACTTAAACTAAGGTGTTCAGAGTAATTTTACATGTTTTAGGGGTTTAGATCGACTTTTGGTAAAAAATGACCCTGTGGTCATTACAATAAGTCTTACATATTTTGTAACTACTTCTTCACATTCTGTATAAGAGTTCAAGTCTTGCACATTGTTTAACTACTTGTTTACATTCTGTTTATCGATACAAAAAGTCTTACACATTATGTAACAACCTTTAAGCTACGGTAAATCAGTACAGAAAGACTTGTACATCATGTAACTACTTTTTTAGATTGCTTATAGCAGTTCAATAAGTCTTACACTTTATGTAACTACTCATTAGATACGGTATATCAGTACGGCAGGACTTACACTTTATGTAACAACTCATAAGATACGGTATATCAGTACGGCAAGACTTACACTTCACGTAACTACTCATAAGATACGGTATATCAGTACAGCAAGACTTACACTTTATGTAACTACTCATTAGATACGGTATATCAGTACGGCAGGAATTAAACATTATGTAACTACTCATTAGATACGGTATATCAGTACGGCAGGACTTACACTTTATGGAACTACTCATTAGATACGGTATATCAGTACGGCAGGACTTACACTTTATGTAACTACTCATTAGATACTGTATATCAGTACGGCAGGACTTATACATTATGTTACTACTCATAAGATACGGTATATCAGTACGGCAGGGCTTATACATTATGTAAATACTCATTAGATACGGTATATCAGTACGGCAAGACTTACACTTCACGTAACTACTCATAAGATACGGTATATCAGTACGGAAAGACTTACAATTTATGTAACTACTCATAAGATACGGTATATAAGTACGGCAGGACTTATACACTATGTAACTACTCATTAGATACGGTATATCAGTACGGCAGGAATTACACTTTATGTAACTACTCATAAGATACGGTATATCAGTACTGCAGGACTTATACATTATGTAACTACTCATTAGATGCGGTATATCAGTACGGCAAGACTTACACTTTACGTAACTACTCATAAGACACGGTATATCAGTACGGCAAGTCTTACACTTTATGAAACTACTCATAAGATACGGTATATCAGTACGGCAGGGCTTATACATTATGTAAATACTCATTAGATACGGTATATCAGTACGGCAAGAATTACACTTTACGTAACTACTCATAAGATACGGTATATCAGTCCGGCAAGTCTTACACTTTATGTAACTACTCATAAGATACGGTATATCAGTACAGCAAGACTTACACTTTATGTAACTACTCATTAGATTCGGTATATCAGTACGGCAGGACTTATACATTATATAACTACTCATTAGATACGGTATATCAGTACGGCAGGACTTACACTTTATGGAACTACTCATTAGATACGGTATATCAGTACGGCAGGACTTACACTTTATGTAACAACTCATAAGATACGGTATATCAGTACGGCAAGACTTACACTTTACGTAACTACTCATAAGATACGGTATATCAGTACAGCAAGACTTACACTTTATGTAACTACTCATTAGATTCGGTATATCAGTACGGCAAGACTTACACTTTACGTAACTACCCATAAGATACGGTATATCAGTACGGCAAGTCTTAGACTTTATGTAACTACTCATAAGATACGGTATATCTGTACGGCAAGACTTACACTTTATGTAACTACTCATTAGATACTGTATATCAGTACGGCAGGACTTATACATTATGTTACTACTCATAAGATACGGTATATCAGTACTATGTAACTACTCATAAGATACGGTATATCAGTACAGCAAGACTTACACTTTATGTAACTACTCATAAGACGGTATATCAGTACGGCAGGACTTATACATTATGTTACTACTCATAAGATACGGTATATCAGTACGGCAGGACTTACACTTTATGTAACTACTCATTAGATACTGTATATCAGTACGGCAGGACTTATACATTATGTAAATACTCATTAGATACGGTATATCAGTACGGCAAGACTTACACTTTACGTAACTACTCATAAGATACGGTATATCAGTACGGCAAGTCTTACACTTTATGTAACTACTCATAAGATACGGTATATCAGTACGGCAGGACTTATACATTATGTTACTACTCATAAGATACGGTATATCAGTCCGGCAAGTCTTACACATTATGTAACTACTCATAAGATACGGTATTTCAGTACGGCAAGACTTACACTTTATGTAACTACTCATAAGATACGGTATATCAGTACGACAAGACTGATACATTATGTAACTACTCATTAGATACGGTATATCAGTGCACAATGTTTTACATATCATGTAACCAAGTATTTCAATATAGGGTATACTTTAAAACTTATTATACTTTTATACTTTTAAACTTTAAAACTTTAAATATACTCTATGAATATAAATCATTTTGTAATTATGAGTTTTTATTGATTCACTTAGGTGAAGTATTGAACTTGAATGTGCTAAGAGATTATCCAAACGTTTTGCTTCATTTAAACAATACGTTTGCACGTGTGATTTGCTAAGCACTACGATGAGGTTAGGCCCTAATTATAATTAGGTTTGACCATCAAAAGGAGATAATATTTTGTCTGTGAATCAGCGTTTGACATTGATATTTTTTTATTTTTTTTTTAAATTTTACTCATTAATGTGCGTTTTGTTTTATTGCCACAATCATATTCTCGCCATGAGGACGTTACATGGGTTTTAACCCAGATTTTAACCCGGCTTGTGTCGTTGATGAAGCAGAAAATGTTTATTCTAAATGAGGTAAATGTTATAATCAAGAAAAGAAAATATACAAAGAATCATCAGTTTTCATTGTGATTCAATTTAAAACAAAAACACTTGTGATAAGAAAAAAACAATAGGATAAATTAGTTTTGAAAAAAAAATGATAGGGAAATTGGAGCTCAATTTGAACTGAAAAGACAATGAGCTGCTATACCGACTGTACCTTTGAGACAATTAAAAGTGAATTTTGTTTTTGATAATTGAACACAGCATCAACAAAGATCTAGAAACTTCCGTGATATTCAGCATGTGCAGCATATAATATAATTATACTTAATTATAACTAAGAACCAAGTATGAAAACCTTCTGGAAAAGCAGACTGAAAACGGAACCTTCAAGGCGGAGCTGACTTCAAACGAGCAGCACTTTAGTCTAACTTTCGCCACTGCGTCGCGGCAAGTCGGCAGCGGTTTTAGTCGGTTATTTCTTGTAAGCTATCCGCGTTTAATGATACACACGTATACGGTTTTTATGATATATGAATAATTGCTACTTTTTATTTTATGATTTGTTACAAAATATAAAAATTATAGAAATTTAAATCGCTTTGATTTTACTTTATGTATACTTTAAAGATCTTAATAAAAAATCAACCAGATATAGCTTTATGTTGTAAGCACCCGGGTAAAACATGTTGACGGCAAACAACAGAATATCTGTATACATTATACACGGCATTGTACGTCTAAACATTGTAAACAACTATGTCAACTGTTAATATCAGACTATGTCTATACAATGCATAGAGTATATTTCGCTAAAAGTTTGTTTTTTAGGCTTTTATAGTAAAACGGATAGGCGAATCTAATACGACCACAAATATTTCTAATGCGTATATTTACAAACTATTAGTACCTGTCATTACCATATCTTAACTGCATATATAACGATTTGAGATTTTCACGTTAATCGAAAAGAACCTTGTATGAAAGTTAAAATTTGATACAGCGCTTAAAGACCTTTACGGTCAAATGACAATGACTTACAGGGTTTACACACTTTCCGATAGTACATCTGCTCTGTGTGTGCTGCTGATAGATTCATTTGTTGCTTGTGTTTCGCCACTGCGTTCGCGTTTCAGCTGGTTCCTAAAGCGTCGTTCAAATGCCCTCCTCAACGTCCTACCAGTGGAAAAGCCTCGTTTGTTGAAAATAGCGCTATTTCGTCTTCGAAGGGTAGCTTTCTTATTTTTATAGTCTTGTGAGTGATAAGAAGGAGGATGTGCTGTGCTGGAGTCACTAGATAAAGTATCAGTATACACATTAGATGACAGATCATCGTCTTCGTCGATATCTTCCTCTTCGTAATCTGATATGGGATCATCGTAATCCGGTTCCGGTTCATTTTCGATGTTTATAACTCTCTGAAGTTCCATCGTTTTCATAATGATTTCCTGGATCTTGTATTTCTCTGTAAATTTCTTACTGCATGACACGTCGGTGATGGAAAGTACATGTAGGATTGTTCCCCATCGGTGGGAAAGCATTCCAATAAATTGAAACACCAAAATTGCGCCGAATAATCCGAGAAAAAACATACCAAGCGGTTCAAATGTTAGATCCTTCTTCAGAGGATCATAATGTGGAATTTTGATGAATAGAGCAGTGTCTTTGAATTCATCTTGTAACAGTTGTAATTGCATCGTCAGTGCAATCCACAGAGCACTCGTCATAAAAAATCCAAACACAGCATTGTTTCGGAGATTCTTTAAATCAGAAGCGACTTTTTCCTGGTGAACTTTGTCCTCGATAATTGGATGAAGATACCGCTTTAAAAGTTGTTCCCAGAACAACAGTTCTCTTGAGTCCATCTTCTTTATGGGTCCTTCCCCACAAATGGAATCCTTTAGCCAGCCCGGGTTCTCGGGATCTTCATTTTTCATCAATAAAGGCATTTTACCTGTAGTATTCGGTTTTGTTTCCCCAGCCTCCGGCTTAGGACACGGATAAGTATTGAGGCTTTCTTGTTTCAACACTATATTTTCTGCTTTACAAGTGTTTGTCATTGTTGAAAAGGAGCGGTGCCTCGGTGATACCTTTGTATCTCGGTTCTGTCGCAACTCGAATACGAGTTCTTGAAGAAGTTCATCGGTTTTTGATTTAGTCTCTGGTTTAGTCACTAGGGTAGCCTGGCGCATTTGTCGAAACATGTCTGCCATTTCATTAAAAATGTTATCCAGACCTAGCCAACCCAATATTCCTTTTTGCTGGCGTTTCATCCGTTTTTCCTCTAATGTTCTTTTCTCCTCTAGTAGTTCTTCTTTCGATTTCCGCATGGGAAGTTCTCTTGTGCCCCAAGACACTATGTGCAGATTACATAGATAGTATATGGTAAGCACCAGATAACCTGTCGGTATACAGATAAAATACAGCGCACCTGGTATCACACAAGCGAACTCCTCCGGGTGCATTAGAGCAGCAACAAAGAAAATAATGACAAGGATGAGGAGGAAGACGACGTTCGGACTGGTCAACGACCCATCTATTGCTGTTCCAATAGTTCCTATCAACACAATGGTCATTATGATAGCATAACACGCGCTCATGATTGTTGCTATAGTAACTTGTGTGGTCGGTTTTGTGTATATGCACAGCACGATGAATGTGATCGGCGGGATAAGAGACAGCGCGTACGACTGGAAGACGCTTGTTTTGAAGACGACCGAGAAAGCACCTGCCATCATTAAAAGGACAGTGGCGGGACCTAGCAAGGTTGATACAAGTAGAAGAAACTGGTACAGGACGTAAGGCGTACTTATGTTATCGTTCAACCTGACCGTGTTCTTCCAGTCTCCAAGAAGGTCGATGACATTGGCCAGAGTCGATGGTCCCCATCGTCGTCGTTGATTGAAAAATTCCGAAAATGTCTCAGGTGCGTGCGTCAATGCATCTGCAGCAGCACAATAATCGATACGATAGCCTTGTTGGAGAAGGAGAGTACTAAGCCAACGGTCCTCACCTGAAACACATAGATTAGTATATATGATAGCAAAGTATTTTTAATATACATATCTATATTGACAAAAATGCCCTTGCCATTTTGTTCATATATATGTTACACTCTGTAGGATTTCTTCAATGCTAAAACTAACACCAAACACCTCACTTCCTGTTCCATAGATTTTTTACCATTCCCGTACTTTTGTCTGTTTACTACAGATGCGCATTACTTTAGTTACGCAGTCAGATAACTCTATTTATTTACCTACCTATGTCATACTAGATTGATTAATTACCCGATCATACATGACTGTATACTACACTAGACTGGACTGTTTACTTACCTTGACCATACTGAGTTGTTTATTACTTACCCGGAACATACTAGACTGTTTTCTTACCATGATCATACTAGACTGTTTTCTTACCATGATGCTACTAGACTGTTTTCTTACCATGACATCAGACTGGAGTGCCTACCTACTCTGATACGCACCAATGTTTTATGATTCACTTTGAAGACCAGGGGTTTTATTCTTACTGGTGCCGTGATCAGAATAGACTTTATATTTACTCTTACCATACTTGACTAGCATTACCTTGATCGTATTGGACGTACTGGCCGGCCTCTGTCGTACGTATGGCGTAAGTTCGGGCCACATTGTCGTCCATTAGAGCCGACCCGCGGAACAAGCTGAAGCACCCCGGAGCACACAGGACACACCCAAATACGTGTTCGGTAGCCTTCTGTAGCCAGTGACCAATAGCATACTCAAACTCCTGGTACCACAGAATCGGACCTTCAGTGTTAAAACATGATATACAGGTTATATAGGACACATTATAACACGTTACCTATGATTGCGCTAGATTGATTTCTATTTTGTTTGATTTATTATTTTAATTGTCTGATCAATTATTATAAATCTAGTATCATCATTGTATACTGGCTGCCTCTATCAAAATATAGCCTACATTGATTAAGCAAGTCCAGATTAGCATTTATATGTCATATGACTTTTTTTTTGTACAGGAGAAACAATCAGTAAGTATATGGCTTCAGATATTGTTAGACATACTTAAAGGATAAGGAAATATAACATAAAAACTTGTAAAATATCAGAATATATATTTAATGATGTATACAAACAAGAAATATTATCAAGAAATAATCAAGTAGTACACGAAGAATTATTCAATATATAATTTCTTCTTCATATATTGCTTTCAATTCAATAACAGCAGTAATTGATGATTGATTCAATTGTACTTTCTAAAGTCCACTTTTTTGCTTAATTTCAGTCAGATTTGCTTAAAGAAGTATTATTGTAGAAAGTCTAGTGAATTTAAGACAAGATTTCTGTGTAAACAATGTTACAGAATTAAACAGAACAGGTAAACAGGTAAAACTGACATTGAACTAAAGGAGCAATACAATAAAACATCCGTACATATACAATGTACTGTTCACGTATCCTGTAGCCACTGTCCATGTATACCACTGGTGGTTTGTATATATACATAACTAACATGTCGTTATTACCAAATTATTTAAGATTGTCCTAAACTGTACTGGATGTAACTCAGATAAAGAAGATGAATACATTTTTATCATACTAGGAACCAGGATTTATTCGAAAGTTAGGCAGTGATATTTTTGAAGATAATAAGAAAGGAGTTAAGTGTACATATTAGTTCTTGTTTAACTAGTTATGATCATTTATAGTCTGCTATAATGTGTAATTTGTGAATGATCCGAAATAATTGTATTCAGAACTATACGAGCAAAATTATTTTAACTACCTTAATAGTGTACATTGTGACATTACTGTATGACGATATTGCTATTATTGTATCGATGATGATGATGATGATGATAAACCACTCTAAAGCGTCTTACAATACATAGATATACAATTTTATACATTCAATACAATAAGCATATATTTTAATCAATACAATATTGAGGAATTCACAGGAGCTGCCTTATCAGGCGCTAACTACAAGTCATATGCCACCTGGCTAATATTCCCCAATGTGTGTATGCCATGTGTGTGTGCTGGAGATGTATTGTGTTCTGTTTGTAGTGGGACCGTGCTTCCAACGGTATCATTTATAGTGCCACCACACTTGAATGCTACAGCACAGATACCGCAACAACCACCCAAGACCATTTGCTACTCCACATGGGTTGTTGGAGTTGTATGGGCAGTAGAAAATCACTTATTCTGAATATTCCATGCGTACGGCGACTTCGGGGATTGTACCCCGGCCGCCTGCTTGGAAGCCCGGAGTGATAACCACTCGACCAATCCGCTCATATGTACTATGCTATCTTGGTATCATACTTTTTTGTAGATTTAACGAATAAGCTGAAAGGTTTACGAAATAAACTTACTTCTATTATAAGATCTACAACAAAAACAGTCATTATATTACATAGCCCTAGTGTGGCGCACTTTATTGATTAAAAAGAAGGTTTAGGCGATAAGCTGCCGATAAAGGAGGGACGAAATAATGGAAGAAACACATTTTTCTCCGAGCACTTACATTTTACTTATGGAAAAGATTGTCTAAACTTATAACTACAAGTTAACGTACCAGATCCAACCGGATGGATACGCCCACAAGCTGCGCCCACCTTCTTGTTTTTCTTTAGTCTGTCCACAAGAAGTCGCACTGCGTCCGGTTTGAAATCTACGTCACCATCCAGTGTAAGAATGAAAGTGTTTTCTGCCTGGAAAAGCAAAGTTATCTCATTTGTATACAAATAAACGAGAAACTGATGAATAGGAAAAGTAAATATGTCCTTAATAAGTTCCAGCAGTTCCAAAAAACGAAAAGTGTTTTGACTGCTGCTGTACCGTTTGCATGACTGTTTCTGGGGTTCCATGTCCTTTACCTCCGGAATATTGAACAAACAAAAATTAGATTGCTGCAGCTATTGCAAAGCTATGCGCCTTTGTCCTACCTGATTATGCATTGTGTTCTTCATCAATATGTCACAAGAAAGTGTCTATATCTTTTTTGTATCAACTTTTGGAGACATTTCACAAATTTTAAATGAATGTACGTGAAAAGAATACCTGTGTGTGGACCTCGTCGCTGACGTAGTTGAAGATAACACTTCGTGTGAAGTGTGACGACTGTCGACGCCGTCGAAGCTGAGTCTCGGTGAGTTTGACGGGATGAGTTCCAGAATCATTGTCCGGGGTACTCATTGACTCCGAGAGGTCACGATGGATGAGGTTTTCAGGTTGTGCCAGTATCCGGTAGCCAAGCAAGTAGTACATATACATGACCTGTTTGGACAAACATAAAGTTGAACATAAACATGACGTATACGGACAGTACAAAAAAAAGGTTTTACAGTTGCCAATGAAGCATCAGCCAAACAAATACAACGTTTTATAACGAAAAAAATCAAAGGTGTATATCGCCGTGGACGAAATCATCGGTGTTTATTTGCTGTTGAGTAAATATTCAGATCACATGTAGGGTTTAAGTACCATTATTGTTTGATAATTTGAAGGAAATGCAACATAAACAACAACTTTTTCTTGTTGCAACACAAGTTAAACAGCCAATGTCAGTCTCCATGTTGAGGATAAATCTGAGGCCGTTCTGAATAGTCATTAATCAGACAAATAGCTAAGCCTATAAGTAGTATCGCCTGTGATAAGCGTTCTCTCCCTATCCTTATCGAGTGTTTTTTACTTGTGATCAACGTTCTCACCCTATCCATATCGACTGTTTCTTACTTGTGATCAGCGTTCTGTCCTTACCCTTATCGACTGTTTCTTACGTGTGATCAACGTTCTGTCCTTGACCTTATCGACTGTTTCTTACTTGTGATCAGCGCTCTGTCCTTATTCTTATCGACTGTTTTTTACTTGTGATCAGCGTTCCGTCCTTACCTTTATCGACTGTTTCTTACTTGTAATCAGCGTTCTGTCCTAACCCATCGACGGTTTCTTACATGTGATCAGCGTTCTGTCCTAACCCATCGACTGTTTCTTACGTGTGATCAACGTTCTGTACTTTCCTTATCGACTGTTTTTTTACTTGTGATCAGCGCTCTGTCCTTACTCTTATCGACTGTTTCTTACTTGTGAACAGCGTTCCGTCCTTACCTTTATCGACTGTTTCTTACGTGTGATCAGCGTTCCGTCCTTACCTTTATTGACTGTTTCTTACTTGTAATCAGCGTTCTGTCCTAACCCATCGACTGTTTCTTACATGTGATCAGCGTTCTCTCCCTATCCTTATCGAGTTTTGTTTTTAACTTGTGATCAGCGTTCTCTCCCTATACTTATCGAGTGTTTTTTTACTTGTGATCAGCGTTCTTTTCCTATCCTTATCGAGTGTTTTTTTACTTGTTAGCAGCGTTCTGTCCTTACCCTTATCGACTGTTTTTACTTGTGATCAGCGTTCTATCCCTATCCTTATCGGGTGTTTTTTACTTGTGATCAGCGTTCTCTCCATATTTTTATCGAGTGTTTCTTACTTGTGATCAGCGTTCTCTCCTTGTCCTTATCGAGTGTTTTCTACTTGTGATCAGCGTTCCCTCTCTATCTTTATCGACTGTTTCTTACATGTGATCAGGGTTCTCTCCCTATCCTTATCGACTGTTTTTTACTTGTGATCAGCCTTCTCTCCCTGTCCTTATCGAGTGTTTCTTACTTGTGATCAGCGTTCTGTCCTAACCATTATCGAGTGTTTCTTACTTGTGGTCAGCGTTCTCTCCCTATCCTTATCGAGTGTTTCTTACTTGTGATCAGCGTTCTGTCCTTACCATTATCGAGTGTTTCTTACTTGTGGTCAGCGTTCTCTCCCTATCCTTATCGAGTGTTTTTTTTTACCTGTGATCAGCGTTCTGTCCCTCCCCCTATCGACTGTTTCTTACTTGTGATCAGCGTTCTATCCCTATCCTTATCGGGTGTTTTTTATTTGTGATCAGCGTTCTCTCCATATTTTTATCGAGTGTTTCTTACTTGTGATCAGCGTTCTCTCCCTGTCCTTATCGAGTGTTTTCTACTTGTGATCAGCATTCCCTCTCTATCTTTATCGACTGTTTCTTACATGTGATCAGGGTTCTCTCCCTATCCTTATCGACTGTTTTTACTTGTGATCAGCCTTCTCACCCTATCCTTATCGAGTGTTATTTACTTGTGATTAGAGTTCTCTCTCTATCCTTATCGAGTGTTTCTAACTTGTGATCAGCGTTCTCTCCCTATCCTTATCGATTTTTTTTACTTGTGATCAGCGTTCTGTCCTTACCCTTATCGAGTGTTTTTTACTTGTGATCAGCGTTCTCTCCCTAACCTAATCGAGTGTTTCTTTCTTGTGATCAGCGTTCTCTCCCTATCTTTATCGAGTGCTTTTTTACTTGTAATCAGCGTTCTGTTCTTTCCCTTATCGACGGTTTCCTACTTGTGATCAGCGTTCTCTCCCTATCCTTATCGAGTGCTTTTAACTTGTGATCAGGGTTCTGTCCTTACGCTTATCGACAGTTTCTTACTTGTGATCAGCATTCTCGCTCTACCTTATCCAGTGTTTTTTTTTTACCTGTGATCAGCGTTCTGTCCTTACCCTTATCGAGTGTTTCTTACTTGTGATCAGCGTTCTGTCCTTAACCTTATCGAGTGTAACTTACCTGTGCTCAGCATTCCCTCCGTTCCTTGATCCGTTATGCCTTACCTGTGACCAGCGCTTCTTGTGTCTTATTTTGTGCTTATCCTTCAGGTGAACGACGAGACGAGTACCTCCTGGTAAGCGCCACGTCATCCGGCCTCCATAAGGAGTTGGCGTTCGCACGGGCGGGGCTAGTGTCATCTGACGCTCATGAACGGAGCTGTTTAAAACAAGTTATCACATAACAGTTATACAAATGTATGTCATACAGCACTAGATACAATTTAACGTGCGAACAGTAGTGATCAACAACAGCATTCAGTATAATTGGTTGTATTTTCAATTATATTTGAAGTCTTATAATAAATCTATTTATAACAAGAATAAGGCGAACTCTTTTTAATTTTTGTTTATTCTTGAAATGGAAATTGTCATATGACGACAATCGTCAGGATCACCTTCATGAAAAGAATAACAGGAGAATACAGGTGGGATAAAGTTCTAAGTGTGTCAACCTATAAACTATGGTCGCTTCGAGGTGCCTTAAACGGCACGGAATAAAATCCCCATATTCAACCAGCGCTCCAAATGTTACGGACAATAACATTGGCAAAGCGTTCGTGTGTAAATAAAATTAACATATTTATAAACAAGAGGCCCATGGGCCTTAACGGTCACCTGAGTCCTACAGTAATTATTTTTGTTGTTGAAAAATTTACCGATTTGAGTAAAAAATTGTTATGTATATTTTTATCTTAAGTTTGTCAGGACCGTGAGCTGATCATTCCTAAACCGACTTTCAGTTAGATCGGCCTATTAGAACTTGTTTTTAAGTTTGAAATAGGTATTTTCAAAATAGTGGCCATGGCAGCCAAATTGTATTTCTGATCGACCCGAAAAATAACAAAACTTTGTCAGAACCATGAGTCGATCATTCCTACAAAGTTTCAGTTCAATCGGCCCAGCAGAACTTGACTTTAAGTTTGAAATAGTTTTTCAAAATGGCAGCGCTGGCTGCCATGTTGGATTTCTGATCGACCCGAAAAATAACAACACTTGGTCAGGGTCAGTAACCGTCCCATGAAATATTAATGAAATCCCTTTGCCAGAATTTCAGCTTAAGTTGAAAATGTAAAATGTTAACGGACGACGGACGATGGACGACGGACGACGACGGACGAAGACGGATAGCAATACGTCACTTGAGCTAAAGCTCAGGTGACCTAAAAAGCAGCTAAGAAATATCAGTACCAATCGGTCTCTTGCTGCCTCGGAAAGGCAAACTTATAGGCACAACATGTGATACCTCTCACGATATGACGTATGGCAACATTTTATGAAAAGGATTCAAAACATTCAACAATTATTCTATTATCAGAAATGAACATTGTACCACATAAAGACAAAGTACCGCTTGTCGTTGACGTTCACACTCACCTGATGGCGTCATCTATGCAGTCCATCAACTCCGCTACAAAGCTATTTGGTATAAGTGTGTCGTCATCAGAAAGCTCCATCGCGTCATCGAAAAAAACGTGTGCTGTAACATAGTTATGTGTAACAGTAGGGCCAGCATCTATAATACTCTATGGAACAATATCGACAAATATTGTACGGATTGTAATAAAAACAGTTTATGGAACTAAAACGACGAATTTGCTATGGAACTGTTACAGAGTACTGTATGGAAATTACACAAAGTACTGCTAAGAACGGTTACAGAGTACAGAATGGAAATTACACAAAGTACTGCTAAGAACGGTTACAGAGTACAGTATGGAAATTACACAAAGTACTGCTTAGAACTGTTACAAAGTACATGTACTGTATGGAAATTACACAAAGTACTGCATGGAAGTTACACAAAGTACTGCTTAGAACTGTTACAAAGTACTGTATGAAAATTACACAAAGTACTGCTTAGAACTGTTACAAAGTACTGTATGGAAATTACACAAAGTACTGCTTAGAACTGTTACAAAGTACATGAACTGTATGGAAATTACACAAAATACTGCTTAGAACTGTTACAAAGTCCATGTACTGTATGGAAATTACACAGAGTACTGCTTAGAACTGTTACAAAGTACATGTACTGTATGGAAATTAAACAAAGTACAGCCTAGAACTGTTACAAAGTACATGAACTGTATGGATATTACACAAAGTACTGCTTATAACTGTTACAAAGTACTGTATGGAAATTACACAAAGTACTGCTTAGAACTGTTACAAATATCCGTTCTAATACAACATGCCGCTTACCTTCAAACTCGTAGTAATCCGGATCCCTTATACCGTAGAACTTCTGAGCCAGAAACCGTGCACTGTGATCAATGTCCATTCTGAATTAGAACAACTTTGATGATCAAAAACAAAAGAAACCTTTCTGTGATTTAAATAGCTCATATTGTGATATTTGTACATTTTATGTAAGTATTATATATGTTTATGGGTTTCTAGATAAAAGCATGTCTATGATCGTAGAACACGCCAAATATTAATATATTTATCAAATCGCAGTGTTTTGCATATCCGGTTTCTTTATTTTGAAGGTATATACGGGGGAGATATTCAATTTAAGAACGTATTATTAGAATTATTGTAGAGCAGATATCGGATTTGTTTTCCCCATTGCTTGTGTTTCTGGCATATAAATGTAACGTAAAACCACGAAACACAAATAAAACACAAATATAATTTCAACAAATATAGTCAAGAATCAACATTTAACATGGCCCTAACAGTACTCTATACCTTTGAGAACACTACCCTAACAGGAGTCGTATACAAGAAGAGTTTTATATAGTTTCTGCCCTAACCGCAGTAACTAATGTTGGAAGCCCATCCATACATCGGTCTGACAAAAATATTTACCTAAATAAAGATTTTAGGAGCTGCGTCATTTCACATCTCGTCTCGTGCCACATAGTTGCGCATGCGTATATCTGTGGTACTACATCGTCAGCTCTGTGGACATCCTCGTCATCGTAGAGTGTCGATACGTCATCATCGGAACTGAAAAGGGCAGAGTCCCGATCGTTTGTTCTTCGCCGTAGCATCAGAGACTGGTCAGTGAGAATCCCACAGCGGATAGGCATCACAAATAATCTGTAGGGGAAGCATAGCTACAATGAGATATAGTAAAACACATCTACTGGTTGTAATGGGGGGGGGGGGGGGGGGGGGAATATTGAGAAAAGGGAAAACACCTCTTCTGGTTGTAAGGGAAACATAGTTACAGTGAGAAGGAAAACACATCTACTGGTTGTAAGAGAAACACAGGTACAGTGAGAAAAAGGAAAACACATCTACTGGTTGTAAGGGAAATACAGTTAGAATGACATAAGGGAAAACACATCTACTGGTTGTAAGGGAAATACAGTTAGAATGACATAAGGGAAAACACATCTACTGGTTTTAAGGGAACCACAGTTACAGTGAGACAAAGGAAAACACATCTACTTGTTGTAAAGGAAACACAGTTACAGTGAGACAAAGGAAAACACATCTACTGGTTGTAAGGGAAACACAGTTACAGTGAGAAAAAGGAAAACACATCTACTGGTTTTAAGGGAAACGCAGGTAGAGTGAGAAAAAGGAAAATACATCTACTGGTTGTAAGGGAAATACAGTTACAATGACATAAGGGAAAACACATCTACTGGTTGTAAGGGAAACACAGTTACAGTGAGACAAAGGAAAACACATCTACTGGTTGTAAGGGAAATACAGTTAGAATGACATAAGGGAAAACACATCTACTGGTTGTAAGGGAAACGCAGGTACAGTGAGAAAAAGGAAAATACATCTACTGGATGTAAGGGAAACGCAGGTAGAGTGAGAAAAAGGATAACACATCTACTGGCTGTAAGGGAAACACAGTTGCAGTGAGAAAAAAGGAAAACAGATCTATTGGTTGTAATGGAAACGCAGGTACAGTGAGAAAAAGGAAAATACATCTACTGGTTGTAAGGGAAACGCAGGTAGAGTGAGAAAAAGGATAACACATCTACTGGTTGTAAGGGAAACACAGTTGCAGTGAGAAAAAAGGAAAACAGATCTATTGGTTGTAAGGGAAACGCAGGTACAGTGAGAAAAAGGAAAATACATCTACTGGTTGTAAGGGAAACACAGGTACAGTGAGAAAAATGAAAATACATCTACTGGTTGTAAGGGAAACGCAGGTACAGTGAGAAAGAGGAAAATACATCTACTGGTTGTAAGGGAAACACAATTACAATGACACAAAGGAAAAAAACATCTACTGGATGTAAAGGAAACACAGGTACAGCGAGAAAAAGGAAAACACATCTACTGGTTTTAAGGGAAACGCAGTTACAGTGAGACAAAGGAAAACACATCTACTGGTTGTAAGGGAATACAGTTACAATGACATAAGGGAAAACACATCTTCTGGTTTTAAGGGAAAGGCAGGTAGAGTGAGAAAAAGGAAAACACATCTACTGGTTGTACGGGAAACGCAGGTAGAGTGAGAAAAAGGAAAACACATCTACTGGTTTTAAGGGAAACGCAGTTACAGTGAGACAAAGGAAAACACATCTACTTGTTGTAAAGGAAACACAGTTACAGTGAGACAAAGGAAAACACATCTACTGGTTGTAAGGGAATACAGTTACAATGACATAAGTGAAAACACATCTTCTGGTTTTAAGGGAAAGGCAGGCAGAGTGAGAAAAAGGAAAACACATCTACTGGTTTTAAGGGAAACACAGTTACAGTGAGACAAAGGAAAAGACATCTACTGGTTTTAAGGGAAACACAGGTACAGTGAGAAAAAGGAAAACACATCTACTGGTTGTAAGGGAAACACAGGTACAGTGAGAAAAAGAAAAACACATCTACTGGTTGTAAGGAAACGCATGTAGAATGAGAAAAAGGAAAACACATCTACTGGTTGAAAGGGAAACACAGTTACAGTAAGACAAAGGAAAACACATCTACTGGTTTGAAGGGAAACACAGTTACGTTGAGACAAAGGAAAACACATCTACTGGTTTTAAGGGAAACACAGGTACAGTGAGAAAAAGGAAAACCCATCTACTGGTTGTAAGGGAAACACAGGTACATTGAGAAAAAGAAAAACACATCTACTGGTTGTAAGGGAAACGCAGGTAGAGTGAAAAAAAGGAAAACACATCTACTGATTGTAAGGGAAACACAGGTACATTGAGAAAAAGAAAAACACATCTACTGGTTTTAAGGGAAGCACAGGTACAGTGAGAAAAAGGAAAACCCATCTACTGGTTGTAAGGGAAACGCAGGTACAGTGAGAAAAAGGAATACACATCTACTGGTAGTAAGGGAAACGCAGGTAGAGTGAAAAAAGGAAAACACATCTACTGGTTGAAAGGGACACACAGTTACAGTAAGACAAAGGAAAACACATCGACTGGTTTGAAGGGAAACACAGTTACGTTGAGAGAAAGGAAAACACATCTACTGGTTTTAAGGGAAACACAGTTACAGTGAGAAAAAGGAAAACGCATCTACTGGTTGTAAGGGAAATACAGTTACAATGACATAAAGGAAAACATTTCTACTGGTTGTAAGGGAAACCCAGTTACAGTGAGACAAAGGAAAACACATCTGCTGGTTGTAAGGGAAACACAGTTACAATGACATAAAGGAAAACACATCTCCTGGTTGTAAGGGAAACGCAGGTACAGTGAGAAAAAGGAAAACCCATCTTCTGGTTGTAAGGGAAACACAGGTACAGAGAGAAAAAGAAAAACACATCTGCTGGTTGTAAGGGAAACACAGTTACAGTGAGAAAAAGGAAAACGCATCTACTGGTTGTAAGGGAAATACAGTTACAATGACATAAAGGAAAACACATCTACTGGTTATAAGGGAAACACAGGTACAGTGAGACAAAGGAAAACACATCTAATGGTTTTAAGGGAAACACAGGTACACTGAGAAAAAGGAAAACCCATCTACTGATTGTAAGGGAAACACAGTTACAGTGAGACAAAGGAAAACATATCTACTGGTTGTAGGGGAAACGCAGGTAGAGTGAGAAAAAGGAAAACACATCTACTGGTTGTAAGAGAAACACAGGTACAGTGAGAAAAAGGAAAATACATCTACTGGTTGTAAGGGAAACACAGTTACAGTGAGACAAAGGAAAACACATCTGCTGGTTGTAAGGGAAACACAGTTACAATGACATAAAGGAAAACACATCTACTGGTTGTAAGGGAAACGCAGGTACAGTGAGAAAAAGGAAAACACATCTACTGGTTTTAAGGGAAACACAGTTACGTTTAGACAAAGGAAGACACATCTACTGGTTTTAAGGAAAACACAGGTACAGTGAGACAAAGGAAAACACATCTACTGGTTTTAAGGGAAGCACAGTTACAGTGAGACAAAGGAAAACACATCTACTGGTTATAAGGGAAACACAGGTACCGTGAGAAAAAGGAAAACCCATCTACTGGTTGTAAGGGAAACACAGGTACAGTGAGAAAAAGAAAAACACATCTACTGGTTGTAAGGGAAACACAGTTACATTGAGACGAAGAAAAACACATCTACTGGTTGTAAGGGAAACACAGGTACAGTGAGAAAAAGAAAAACACATCTACTGGTTGTAAGGGAAACACAGGTACATTGAGAAAAAGAAAAACACATCTACTGGTTTTAAGGGAAATACAGTTACAGTGAGACAAAGGAAAATACATCTACTGGTTTTAAGGGAAACACAGTTACGTTGAGACAAAGGAAAATACATCTACTGGTTAAAAGGGAAACGCAGGTAGAGTGAGACAAAGGAAAACACATCTACTGGTTGTAAAGGAAACACAGGTACAGTGAGAAAACCGAAAACACATCTACTGGTTTTAAGGGAAACACAGTTACAGTGAGACAAAGGAAAACACATCTACTGGTTGTAAAGGAAACACAGGTACAGTGAGAAAACCGAAAACACATCTACTTGTTTTAAGGGAAACACAGTTACAGTAAGACAAAGGAAAACACATCTACTGATTTTAAGGGAAACACAGTTACGTTGAGACAAAGGAAAATACATCTACTGGTTAAAAGGGAAACGCAGGTAGAGAGAGACAAAGGAAAACACATCTACTGGTTGTAAGGGAAACGCAGGTAGAGTGCGAAATAGGAAAACAGATCTACTGGTTGTAAGGGAAACACAGTTACAGTGAGAAAAAAGGAAAACACATCTACTGGTTGTAAGGGAAACGCAGGTAGAGTGCGAAATAGGAAAACAGATCTACTGGTTGTAAGGGAAACACAGTTACAGTGAGAAAAAGGAAAACACATCTACTGGTTGTAAGGGAAATACAATTACAATGACATAAAGGAAAACACGTTGTAAGGGAAACACAGTTACACAGTTACAATGACATAGAGGAAAACACATCTACTGGTTGTAAGGGAAACGCAGGTACAGTGAGAAATAGGAAAACACATCTATTGGTTGTAAGAGAAACACAGGAACAGTGAGAAAAAGGAAAATACATCTACTGGTTGAAAGAGAAACGCAGGTAAAGTGGGACAAAGGAAAACACCTTCCCTGGTTGTAAGGGAAGCATAGCTACAGTGAGAAAAATGAAAACACGTCTGCTGGTTGTAAGGGAAACAAAGTTACAATGACATAAAGGAAAACATTTCCACTGGTTGTAAGGGAAACACAGTTACAGTGAGACAAAGGAAAACACATATACTGGTTGAAGGGAAACACAGTTACAGTGAGACAAAGGAAAACACATCTACTGGCTGTAAGGGAAACACAGTTACAATGAGACAAAGGAAAACACATCTACTGGTTATGAAGGAAACATAGTTATGGTGAGACAAAGGAAAACACCTTCCATGTTTGTAAGGGAAGCATAGTTACAGTGAGACAAAGGAAAACACGTCTGCTGGTTGTAAAGGAAACACAATAACAATGACATAAAGGAAAACATTTCTACTGGTTGTAAGGAAAACACAGTTACAGCAAGACAAAGGAAAACACATCTACTGGATGTAAGGGAAATATGTGTAGAGTGAGAAAAAGAAAAACACATCTTCTGGTTGTAAGGGAAACGCAGGTAGAGTGAGAAAAAGGAAAACACATC